TCTGACCTGCCCTACGGCCAAAAAAGAGTTCCTGTCACTGTGATGACTGGCTGGCAAGTCAACCTGTTCTGGAGCACACATGTTATGTGAAGAAACAGAGCAGGCACAACAGTTTTGAAGAGTGAGGATCCCAGCTCTGTAGGAGGCAATCCTTACAGGCTTTCATGGCAAGCTAGAGAAAATATGGGTGCAAAGAAACAGACAGCCCTGGTGCCCCGAGTCTCTCTCAGGAGGGGGGCAGATTTAGACTCTGGACTGAATGCTCTGAAAGGGACCCATCAGTTGGTAAGAAGTTTCACATCACTTCAAAATGTGGTGGGCAAGCTCCGCTGTATTTGGTGAACTTGCTTCTCATTCTTCTGCCCTGACCCAAAGTCCTACCCTGATGGCATCACTTGTTCCTCTTCCTTCACACCCAAACTCTTGAGAACCGCTTCTCAGTACAGTGGTACTTCGGGTTACATACGCTTCAGGTTACAGACTCCACTAACCCAGAAATAGTGCTTCAGGTTAAGAACTTTGCTTCAGGATGAGAACAGAAATCGTGCTCCGGTGGCGCAGTGGCAGCAGGAGGCCCCATTAGCTAAAGTGGTGCTTCAGGTTAAGAACAGTTTCAGGTTAAGTACGGACCTCCGGAACGAATTAAGTACTTAACCTGAGGTACCACTGTACTATGCTGTGGTATGTGTGTGTGAATGTGGCAAGTACCCGGGCAGGATTGATTAGAAGAGTTGGCAACAAGATAATCATCCTGTCAGGCAGAAGAACCAGCCCTTAGGGAAGGTATACACGATCAGCTGCACCCATGCCCTTCTGCTATTCATGCACATGCCAGAGTCACGTAGGATAGCAGCATCATTAGCAAGGGGCCCCAATGCCAGGTGCATATGAAAGGGAGCCTTAAATACCTCAGATGAGGAACTTGCTTCCTAATCCCCATTTCCCTTTAAGTTTTTCAATTATGTGGATCATCGCACACTAAATGCAATCTGTCTTCTTAAGGCAGGGATTTATGCCCTTGTTTACAAATCTTTTTGAAGTGTTATTGGGTTATCACTATTATTACTGTAGTAGTTGTTTTATGAATGTTTGTGACAAGCTAAAACTTGAACCTGACAGGCATGCAGGACTTAGAAACTGCCAACACTTCCCTTGCCAGGAGAGTGTTTCTAAAAGTGTAATAAGGGTAATAAACTATGAAAGAAAAACAAAGTCTTTTTATAATTCCTAAAAAGAGAAACAAAACTGAAATGAACTTCGAAACAAAAACAAAAGCACTTCTTTAAATGGAATAGTACATTCCCTGGCCAGGAAGAGATGCCAAGCTGCTCAGTCTCTGGTTGCTGTTGGGTTTTTTTAGTTTATATTTTACAGGGTAAGTTCTGGGTTAAATCCAAAGCACTGGGTCTTCACTTTAGAGCCTGGGTTCAGGATTCATGAGGGGAAATCTTCCTCCATATATACCTCTCCATCCTTTGAAGTTCAGTAACAAGATGTGTTGTGGACTCCACTCTTCTGAGATTATCCTCAGTAGCTACTACAGGTTGTATTCCTCCCCCAAGTGGTTGTATTTGAATTATTTACCATAAGAAAGATGAGGGAATCTGGTCTGTTTTGTTGAGAGACCTTCCTGTATAAGTAGACGATTGATCTTCAAGCATTAAGCATGCTAAGAGCAGATGATGCATGTTTGCTATTGAGTTATGAATTATTATTTATTATAGAGATGTGAAAGTTTTTTTCTAGGGCCACATTCCCTCATAAGCAATCTTCTGGGCTCCACAAGCCCTTTGCCATGGGGGGTGGTGTACAGTGGTAGCTCGGGTTAAGAACTTAATTCGTTCTGGAGGTCTGTTCTTAACCTGAAACTGTTCTTAACCTGAGGTACCACTTTAGCTAATGGGGCCTCCTGCTGCCGCTATGCGATTTCTGTTCTCATCCTGAAGCAAAGTTCTTAACCTGAGGTACTATTTCTGGGTTAGTGGAGTCTGTAACCTGAAGCATCTGTAACCTGAAGCGTCTTTAACCTGAGGTCCTACTGTATGTGCAAAAGCAGTGACAGATGTGACTCCACCTTTTGTAGGCTGCAATTTAGTCAGGCAAAAGATGGAGGCATATACAGATGCCTCTCCGCATTCAGGCAACAGTCCCAGGACACATTTCAACCAGGCAAAAGCACCCAAGGAGGATGCAGACCTGGGCTGGTGAGGGGTTTTGGGCCTGGTGAGAATCCTGTGGGCCAGAGAGAGAGAGAGAAAGTCCTGGAGGGTTGCATTCAGCTCCTGGACCTGAGGTCTTCCATCCCAGATTAATTGTTGTAACTGCGTTTTTTTAAACATTCTTCTCTGCCTTGAGAATGCATATAAATCGGAAACAATCAGACAGACTATAAATTCTGGATTAATAAATCATCTGCTCTTACTGCTTTGTCCCTTGCTTCATGCACACCTTCTTTTGTCTGTAGGAGGACAGAGGTTTTTTTTAAAAAAAACCAACAAGCATTTACAACACTCTTTCATTCCTTCTGCCTCCCGTCCTCTCAACATCCTTGTGGCTTAGTGAATCATTCCTGTTTCATAGGCTAAGGAACTATGCCTAAAAAATTGGCTTTGAGGCCAAGCTGGGATTACACTTTGTAGTCATGCACAGAAATTACAACAATCAGTCATGTGATTTCTAGAACAAAACAAATGTCCCAACACATATCCTGAAGAAGGATTTATGTCACTGGTGTTATAAGGGATCAAGAATCTGGAGAAAACATGTCACCTATTCATGAATTCCTGAGTTATGCTGGAACTCATAGAACCCCATAGGATTCTTTGGAATGCTGTGACAGTCTCTCATTTGATGCTGAAATGCCTGCCTGATGTTTTCGTAATGTGCAGAAGCAGATAGGAGTGGTGAATCATGTGGAAGACTCACATCAGCCTCACTAGTGGTAGCGAGGTGTAAAACTGACATGGAAACAGGGCCGGCTCTACCATTAGGCAGAGTGAGACAGCCTATTTTTAGGACCCACCCTGTTTTTTGTGATTGCAGTTTGTTTAAAACTGTTTTCAAGGTTGTGTTCTAAATTGTTGTAACCAACCCGGGGACTGTGATTTCTATGCATAACCTGCAATCCACAAACCGCAGCCAGGTGCAAACATGCTTTAGAATGAAGGAACAGGGTGCCTCTAAGCACTTGCTCAGCCCAGGAATTTGTTTTCAGAACTAGAACTAAGGCTGCATACACACCACGCATTTAAAGCACTTGACTTCCCCAAAGAACCCTGTGAACTGCAGTTTCTTAAGGGTTCTGGGAATCACAGCTCTGCGAGGAGTAAACTACAGTTCCCAGGATTTTAGTGAAAGGCTATTTTCTTTAAATTTAAGATATAAATGCAGCCCAGCTTTGTCACACAAAAATCCGCTCCTAGTTCTCCCCACTGCGACAAGCTTTCTTCATCTCAGCAGCTTGAGAATAAAACCCTTTTTGTTACTACTGTATTGAGGAATAATTGGGAGTCAGAATCCTTGCTGAACTATGGAAATCATTCAGAAAGCTCACATTTGATCCCATTCTACCTTCTCCTAACCTCTGATTTTCATCGATTCACTGATCATGCTTTTATTCTCAGAGCGGGAAAAGAGATGCTTGTTTGGCCTCAAGTGCCAAAATAGCTCAACCAGGCTTGGGTACTATGGAACTTCAGCAGGGGGTGTTATGCAGGGGAGGGAAGCCAGCAAAACGTTTTGGGTCAGGCCTGGGCGTAACAGCTATGTACTTGCATGTGACATATAAACAGCCTTACCAAGTCAGTGAATATAGATCAAGTCAGACATAGTGATGCAGCCAAAATGAAGCACTTTTATGACCATTTGGTTTTAATGGGTGATCTTTAAATTATATATAAGCTCCACTGAAGTAAATGGGGCTTAAAATTGCTTACCTTTGGCTGAATCCTGCCCATAATGTCTTTGTCGGCAGTAGCCGGTTCCTGATACTACTCCCCCAAATAATTTTGAACCATCAGGCAACATGTCTGGAAATAATCATTCTCCCACCACAGGATTTCAGTTTTGAACAAGTGTCAGGAGTCCCTGGTGGTTTGGGCTCACACAATCAATGAATTTTAGGAAGAATCACAGAATTGAAGGAAACTTGAGGATCATTTAGTTGATTTTGGCAGATGAAACTAGGAAATGCCTTTGATCTTCTCATTATATACATGTCATGTGGGTTGCTAATAATGCTAGATGATACATGAGAAAGGGTTTTTAAATCAATAACCATTTTAACTGATATTCAATTAACAAAATGCTGCCAAATCTCAAATCAATCCATTGACCCATTTTCTGCATTTATTGTTATCATGGTGGAATGTGATTCAGGTGACTCACCCTTTACATAGGGCCACAAGTGTGGTCCTATAATTCACATTATGTATAAATTGAAGCAGAAGGGGGGCGGGCGTAGAGAACAGGTCCTAAGTGCTATGTACGCAGATCTACTGAAACTGTAATAGATAAAGGATAATGCAAGTACCGGTAATCTCTATGGAGTTATAGAGAACAAATGGAGACAAGAAAACCCAAGAGCCTAATCTGAAAACCTGCTCATGGAGGAAGGACAGGTTGAGCTCTGCAGCTTCACTTCTGCATCATAAAGCACAGGACTCAAACCCATGTCAGGAGAGCCCAGTAGACCATACAAAAATCAGCCATGGTACACTTTTCTTTTTAAATAAATCAATATTTATTATAAAAAAATCTCCGCAGTCCTCACTTTTCTTGTAAACAAGTACACATTTGCACAAATTAACCATACCTAAAGCTTCTTAGAGAAGAGGGTCCAAAAGGAACATCAGCTTGTTTGCATAGCTTAGCAGCTGTGGATCAGCAATAGTCTTAACAGATTTCTTTTTACTAAGCAAGCCTAACAGGACAGAGAGTACTGAAGAAAACACAGTACAAGACCGCCACAAAGATTCAGGATCAAAAGTCCCTTCCGCAGTTCAAAGGGCAGCTTGACTCCATTGTGAAGGTAAGTTCTCAAGTCTTTGCAGGGGGCTGTGCAAAGAGCATTCAAAGAGCTGGCAGTACAATACTTTGGCACAGTAGTCTTTGGCAAAAAACAACAACAACCCACACACATCCAAGGCTGATGTACATAAAACGAGGCTCTTCCACCAGCTCCGGCACAGGAGGGTGTCCCACCAATCAATGGCAATATGGCACACTCTGGATTGGCATATAGATGGCGGCAGACCCATGCTGACCTAGGAGGAGAAAGAAGAAAGCATCACTGGCTCACATCATGCCCATTTCAAGAATGCATAGGAAATCTAAGAAAGCTGAGCACAAGTTTGGTCAGGGTCTAGCAGGGGAGAATTCAGCCTATTATTATTATTATTATTATTATAAAAGAAGATGGAACAGGTTGTGTGTGCTGCTTGCCCAGAGCAGGGTGGAGAGCAGCTGCCACCACTGATGCTTCAGTAAACAGTCTCAGGAAGAAGACCCCAAGGCTTGGTTTGTTTTTCTTGCTTCTCTGCCTGCCTTGAGCTGTGTGCATCTGGAGTTGGCGTAAGGTGCCTAATCCCCAAAGGGAGCAATAGAATCCAAACAGTACAAGCGAGAGAAATTTATCCCACCCTAAGCTGAAAGTATGAGAGCAATAGTTTCTAGACAGACAACCCCAAATATTTACACCACCTTCAAATGTTGACTCTTACCTTGGACAGGTAAAAAGCGCACACACCAACAATTTGGTTTCTATCTCCACCCCCTGCATGCCTTAAAGCAGGACCAGGGAACCTGTGGACTTTCAGGTGTTGCTGGATTTCAACTCCCATCAGTCCCAACTAGATTGGTCAATGGCCATTATGGGAATGCTAAGAGTTCAATAACTGGAGGGTCACAGGCTCCCCATGCCTGCCTTAAAAGACTTGGCTTTGTGTGCTTATTTCTTTATAGAAGTACTTATATACAGAAAAAATAACAAAGGGGTTTACAACTCTAAAAGGATTTTTTAAAAATACGTACAATAAAAGCACATGAAAATTAAAAACAAATTTAAAATCAAAAATCAAAAAAAGCATCAATACAGTAAACCACTGTGGGAGAACTCTTCATTGCCTGCATAGACCTGGAGGAATAGAAATGTTTTCAGAAGGCATTTAAAAGTTGGCACAGAAGGCACCTGCTGAATCTCTATTAGCAGAGTGTTCCACAGTTTTGGTCCGATGACACTCAAGGCTTAATTTCTTCTTGTTGTCAAATGTTGTTAAAATGGCCCAGAAACTGCATAAAGTAAGTTCAGCTCTCTGCCAGAGAATCCTAGGAGGAACTTAAACTTCAAGGAATAAGGAGGTAGCAGTTTAATTAAGGAGGTAGTTTAATTCACCAGATAGCCAACCTGGCAAAAAGCTTATCCGTATCTATGTACCTTCCTTTCAATGAAAGGGTGTTACCTCAGTGCTGCACTTTATACCAGAGCTGAGAAAGCTTTCCTGATACTGCATTGATGGAGAGCAAACAGTCTTGATTAATTTTTTTCTGGGAGGGGGGAAGCAGGGGGAGGGAGAAAATGATTAAAGGAAGGCCTGTTGCATCGTTCTGGTTGTGGAGGGCCCACGGTGTGCCCAGGTTGCTCAAATTATAGATGGTCTGCTGTGCCTGTGATGAAGATGAAAAGTCTCCCTCTACTAAAAGTGAGTTTCAAAGATGAGGTCATTTGCAGAGAACCCAGGTAACACAGGAGAAAGATTGGCGCCTGATTCCCTATTGCATCAGGGCTTCTTAGGCTAATGTTTCAACATCAAGTTTAACTCCAAAAAGCTATGTCCAATTCAATGGTTGAAACATTCAAGTTTCCCATTTAGGGGTAGATCTCATCCAAGTGGAGCCATTTCAAGCTGACATAAATGCGTGGGGAGAGACTTAAATGCCACATGCTAGGCAAACATGGAGAAATATGTTGCCCATGCTCCCCCTAAAAATCTATTTTGCCCCCAGATGTTTTTTCTCGCTGTAAGGGTTTCTTCCCATTTTTTTTTTGAGCCCACTTGGGAGGAACAGAGCTGGAACAAAGCAATTTGGGCTGGAAGTCCAGGCAGAGAGTAGATTCAGCTCCTCCGTATCATGCATGCTGCTCTTTAAATCATCTCCAACACACTTCATATGAATTCAGCCGAAACCTGAATTCTAGCATAGGGGTCTGTCACTGTGCTGTCTACTCTGGATGCATGTAGTATTTTGTTACAGTCTACACAACCTCTGGGGACCCAGGAGCGGAAGCAAAGAGCTTTGTGCTTTTCAGGAGGATTTTTAAAAAATGGTTGTTTGGAGAACATTACATGCTGCTCAAGGGACAGCGGTCGTGCTCTGTCTAAGTGCTTTTATTCTATTATGTAATTGCAATAGGGTAGTGAAGCAAATGGACAAACACAGCATGGAGCACCCAAGGGACAACTATATCCAGGCCCAATTGAAGCAAAAGTCTCAGCAGCAGACTGGCGTCATCAAAGCAGGGGCATGAAAAAGCATTTACCAGCATGATTCCATATCAAGTGTTGAAATCAGCACTGAAATTTGCAATAGATGTCTCTTGAAACTGTACAATTTCCTCTATCGCTTTGAAGATACATTATACAAAGGGGACCTTGTTGTGTGTTTCTATGAGGTGGGATGAAGGAAGATCAAAGATTTGTCTTTTTCGAAGGTATACACAATCAGGCTGTAGTCACTCAAATATATCAAGCCAAGAAGGTGGTTCAAAGTCTGTCTTTTATACAAGTCATGCCATGAGAGACCTGCACCTGTATGAGAACCAAGCATAATTTTTGTAGACATTGAGGCCTAGCAAGTGCAAACCTGAAACACATTTCATGGAACAATGAAAAGATAAGTAATTATTGGAAAGGAATACCGGAATGAAGGAATCTGAGTGTTCTACGTGTTCTTTTGAAGAAGAAAACACACCAGGAGAACTTTGCATTTGTCACTGGAACGTGACAGTGAAAGTATGTGGAGATATACAATATCGTTAGATGTGTGACACAGGCTATTTACTATGTCATTTTCTCCAGTGAGTTTTAAATAGTAAACACTTAAAAATGTAATATGCAGATTGGAATGTATGAATAGCATTGCAAATGTTTTTGTTTTTGCATCAGTTTCCTGACATGTGAACTGAATCAGAAACATGATCCTACACTGAAGTGCAGGCCAGCCTCAGCCATACACCACACGTCAAAGAATGCTGGAAGAAAACAGATTTTGAAGCGGCTCAGAATATAGGCAGACAAGCTGACTTGGCGTGTGTCAGAGGCATTCATCAAAGCAGTGGAGGAAGCATGACTTATGCACTTCCTCCGTTGCCACTTCTGGGACTAGCATAAAGGAAGGACAAGTGCACACTGTTCCTGCAAGAGGGCGGGAGGAACATCTGCCCCCATATAAGAGTCAAAATTGACGGACTTGTCTATTGCCACTTTAGGTGACCGTTCACCTGGGCGATCAACCTAGATGGCTTTAAAAGGGGGCTGGACAAATTCAGGGAGAATAAAGCTATTGGTCATGATGGCCATGCTCTGCCTCCATGGACAGAGACAGTAATGCTTCCCAGTACCAGTTGCTGGAAGCCACATCAAGGGTGGGTGCTCTTGGACTCAGGTCCCACAGGCATCTGGTTGGCTGCTGTCACAACAGGCTGCTGGACTATGTGGGCCGTTGGCCTGATCTAGCAAGCTCTGTTTCTCAAAGAGTTGGCTAGAACCTGCCAGTGGGCTTCAGGCCACCTTTTCAGGTAGGCCTCAATGCCACAGCCTGCCCAGCAACTTCTCACTTGTCTGCCTCACATTTAAGCTGCGTCATAGTCATTTGGTACCAGCGACTCTCTTCATGAGGATAATCCAGGGATGTGGGGAAAAAGAAACTGGCACTTGTGGGGGATTTTTGAAGGGGGGAAAGATGGGAGGAATGAGGAACAGGTTGAATATTGGACAGGAGAAGAAATTACAGAAGATGAGTAAATATAATTTGAGAAGCATGTGGGGGGGGGGAGGGGAAAATGTAAAAGGACCAGCAAATTCTTCCTAAAATGGGGAGGCCGAGTTATAGCACCCCCAAAGCAAATATCTGTACTGCACTTAGCTTGAGGAAAGGCGAGCTATGGAACTTTCTGCCACAAGAAAAATAGTGTCAAAGAATTTAGCCATTTCCAAAGGTGGTTTAGATACAGTAGAAGAAGACATCATGAACCGCCACCCGATTATGCCAAACTGCCCCTTTATCGGCCGCCATTTTGTGACTGGTGAGCCTCAGTAGTTTTCAGCCATCTCAAGTGAGCATGGGAGCAGAAACTTTGGGGACACCTATCCTAGGAGACTGTGAGTAATGAAAAGAGGGGGTGGTTACAACGAAGGCTCTCATGTGTTTTACTTCTGAGTATAATGACTAAGCTTCACAATGAATTCTGCCTTGTCCAGAATAGAGAGCTAAAGAGGGATTATATACTAATGCATTTCATGTACATAAGATACAGAAAACATGAAAAAGTCATGAAAAACCACTCATTTCTAGGACAATTGCTTAGTGATTTCTTTGCCACAGGTAAAAAACATACAAACAAACTGAAATTATACTGTACTGAAAGAGCGCTTGAAACAGCATGGGAAATGGAATCAGTGGCTCAGACTGGGGGGCGGGGGAGAGAATGAATGCTTTTAATGTACGGTACTCAAACATGAAGTGGAATGGAAGGAAGAAGGGAGACCAGGATTTCATCCAAGGCTGAGAAAGGGCAATAACAACACAGTGACTCCCTTGCAAAACATGTCCAGTGTTTTACCTCTGGGGTGGTACTTGAGAACAGGTGCCTATCTATAGATCACAAGTGATAGGAGTGACTCATACAACCACAGACCTTTTTTAAAAGAAAGAAAGAAAATAAAGGAAAAAAGAAAAACATAAAAGAAAGAGAAATACAGTGGTACCTCGGGTTAAGTACTTAATTCGTTCCAGAGGTCTGTTCTTAACCTGAAACTGTTTTTAATCTGAAGCACCACTTTAGCTAATGGGACCTCCTGCTGCTGCCGCACCGCTGGAGCACGATTTCTGTTCTCATCCTGGAGAAAAGTTCTTAACCTGAGGTACTACTATTTCTGGGTTAGCAGAGTCTGTAACCTGAAGCGTATGTAACCCAAGGTACCACTGTATGATGGATACAAGTTGAATGCACAGCATTGTAAGTCCACTAAAGACTGCGGAGCAGATTCTGTGCTGTCAAAAAGTCAAGCCCATTTAGATTTCAGCAGCTTCCCAAAAATAAGTTTATGCTATAAACATGGTTAAATACTGTATGAAAGTTTCCAGGCAATTAAAAAAATCCAGAATTATTCATAAAACAGATTTTTTTCTAATTGAGGGTTAAATTGGTAATCTTGTCTTTTCCATAAAAATGGCCTGAATGGTTTCTGAGACCCTCAAATTAGGCATCTGACACCATGGACACCAGCCATCTTCTTAGTCTCAGGATATACTTCCAGAAGGCCAGGGGTCGTTAACATGACAGTTGCTTGAGCCAAAACACTCAAGTGTGACATCAGCCATCTCAATCAACACTCAGCTGGGGAACAGGCAAGGCAAGGACATGTTGTTCAGAAGCAGGAAACCGCTGCCTTTGGGAAGCAAACCATTTGCAACACACAGCGAAAAGGGCTTAGGGTTTTCTCCCCAGAGGCAATGGAATCTTTCATGCACAGAAAGAGAGTTTAAGTTACTTTGCAGAAGCATTAGCTGTGTCATCCAGTTGGGACTTATAGGCATGTAGAGTGCTAGACAAGTCCAGAAACATTCAGCAGGAATGAGGTGCACAAAGCAGGAAAGGGAACATAAAGTTACTATAGCAGGGGATCGGACTTTTTTTTTTTTGGTGTTGCAATCTCCCAGCCACGCACCTTACTGTCATAGACATTTGTGTTTCAGTCCCATGTGTTTTGCACACATTAGCACCTATTGCTACCTGCTTCACAGCTTGTGGTGATAAAGGACACGAGTGGAGATCTACACAGGAAAGGGAGCCCTTTTCCTATTGAGAAGGGAGATCCAGTGTGGTGCAATGATGAAGGGTGCTGGACTACCAATGGGGGGAACCAGATATAAGCTGCCGCTCAGCCATGAAACTCCCTGGAAGAGCTTGGGCAAGTCACTATCCCTCAGCCCTAACCTACCTCTTAGGATAGTTATGAGTAAAAAAGAAGGGGACGGAGAGGAAGGAAATTTAGGATATAAATACAATAGACAATGGACTGCAAAGTACAAAGCAAATGAGATCCTATACATCCACAAGACTTCCAGGAGTCATGTTGAGAAGTGCTGTCACACTTACAAAGCTAAGCAGGGTCTGGTATATTTTCAAACTGGATGGGAGACCATGTGTTGAGATTCCTACATTGCAGGGACTAGATGGCCCTTCTATGATTTCATGACAGCTACAGCCTACAGCAGCTAAAAGCCAGCCAGGAATCACCTACAGATGAGCACAACAGGCCTTTCTTCACTCATGTTTTGAATATAGAGCAGCCTCCTCCGACTGGTACTGTCCAGATGTTTTTGCCTACTGTTCTCCTCAGCCCCAGCTGGGCTTTTCTTCTCTTACAAAGACCATCAATAAGGCTTTGCTGGTGTTAGGCTTGAACGCATTGAGCATGATGTGGCTCCAGCCTGCCCAAAGTCATGCCTTTTCTTAACACTCTCAATAATGTTTAAGGGGCAAACTGCAAATACTCACCATGGAAGGAAAGGCAGTCGGCACACGCTCAGCAGGGCCATTTATTGCTTTGTTTCTGGGCTACAAGAGGGTCGCCGCTTGAGCTCAGCTTAAGGTCTTCCTAAGCCTAAGAAGTACGAAACTGCTTGAGCAATGAAAGAACGGGCCCACGATTTGGCACCACAGTCATTACTATTGGGAAGAGAGGTCCCGGGGCTCGGCGCGTCCGGTAGCTGTGCGCCCCACGTCCTACAAGTCACATACCATTTAATTCCATATATATTAAAAGCGGAGCGAGGCAGTTACACCGCGAAGTGCGGCGGGAGGGACCTGTCTATCCCAGGGGATTTCTGACCACGTGCCTTTTCTTCCATCCTTCCTTTGGCGCGGGTTAAAGAAAGGTCCAAGGCCGCGAGGACGGACGAAGGAAGGGCAGGTTCCCCGGGAGGCAGCGCTTCACACCAGCCGCTCCTGCGTCCTCGCGGGCCCCTGCTCAAGCGGCGCAGCCGGGCGGAGGCAGCTGAGCTCCAGGGACCCGGCGGCTGCTCCCACCGCCGCCGCGCCTCGCGTGGCCTTCGCGGGAAGGCCCGAGCCAAGAGGCGCGCAGGGCGCAGGCGCCGGCCGGCGGCGCTGCGAGAGGCGCTCGGAGAGCTTGGCGGCCAGGCGCAGGAGGCTCTGCCGGCGACGGGGCTGGGTCGTGCCTGCGGCGGCGGCGGCGGCATCGGCGGCGGGGCGCACCCCGATCTGGAGCTCTTCGGCGGGCACCCCGCGCAGGTTCCCCGAATACCAGAAGAGCCAGCAGAGCAGCGACAGGGCGAGCAGCAGCGACCCGGTCAGCACCAGGAAATCTTCCAAGGGGATCCCGTCCACCATCGGCCGCCCCACGGCGCCCGCCAGCACCAGCGCTAAGCCGGCCCCGTCCAGCACCAGCGCGGCCACGAGGAAGACCGCGCAGTGCCCGCAGCGAGCGTGGCCCATGCCCGCACTGGCGCGGCGCCGGCGGGCAGGCGGCAGCCAAAGTCCGCCGAGGGCCACGCCCGCTCAGGTGCCGCCGGAGGGGCCACGCCCCCCTCACCTGCCCGGCGGCCCCGGAGGAGGCTCAATTGCAGCGGGGACCGCGCCGTCCCCGGGGGCAGATGAGAGAATAGACCCCAAGCGAGCGGCTCGGCTGTGCGCGGCCAAGAATTACCCCACAGCCGACGGCTGTCAGTCGCAGCCTGTCACCGATTGCTCCCATAAACCGCGCAATCTCGCCGGATTTGGATCTCGCCCTTCGGTTCAAGGACTGTCTTAGCGTGCGCTTAATAATCGTCATAAAAATCTCCGGTGCCGTCGCACTTGGAATACCGTGCGCCGTTTTGGTGACCCCATTTCACTCTCACGCCACTGCACGGGTGTAGTAGCCAAGCAGATGTCCCCCTAAATCAAGTAAATAAGTAAAAATACTTAACTAACTCACCAAACCCGTCGTAGGTAGGTCGATTCTGCCCCCCCCCATGTAAATCCTGCCCCTTCCCACCTAAATCCTGACTACGCTATGCCCACGTGCTGAAGAGCTGGAAAGGGTACAGGAAAGACCAAGCAAAATGACCAGGGGATTGGAGCAACTCCCACAAGAGTTTGTGGGCTTTGGGGTATAGAACAGTTGCCAAGAAATTGTGGGAAATCATGTTTGCCACCTTGGAGGGATAGGTGTGATATAAATGTAATAAATAAAGGCTGTGTGGATGCTTCCTGGCACTCAGGTCCTTTGCTGACGCTGTAACTATAGAAATAACTGGGCAACAGCAACAATTGTCTTATGCCCTGCTCAAAGGCATCTGGTTGGCCACCTTATGTTACTATGTGTGTTACTATTTTCTTTCGGAGCTCAGGTGGCGTATATGAAGTTTCTTGTTTGTCTGGCAAATAGCGATAAATCCCAAATCATTCTGTCAAAGCCAGATTCGAAGCCAAGTAAACGACAGCCCATATTTGAATCTTCGAAATCTCTTTTATTCTTTCTCAACAAAAGTGAGGGGAAGGCTGGAGGGAAACAAGGAGCAAGCAAATCCATGCTTTTCTCATTCTTCGCCCGATCATTTTGATGGTGAAAACAAAAGGCTGATGGAAGGGTGTGAGCAGGTAATGAAGCCCCTCCCACATTGTTTTACACACAGCCTCAAGAGCTCACCTGCCAGAAACCTCACTCACACCTCAATTTATTTACTGACCCATGCTGCCTACACAGGATCACACCCTTGCTGTATTCTGTGCTCATTAATTGATGTAGAATGACTTCTCTCTCTGCAAAGAGAGATGAGCATCACCTTGGTCCTCCCTAAACATTCAGCTACAGGGTTCTGAAAAAAGCATATCTTTGTCATACTTTAATTGCCCGTGTTATGAGTCAAATAAAAGGTGTTGAAAAATAAGTAACTTAAGCTAATGCATCTTCAATGCTTGCTTTCTTTGTCATTTTTAAGCTTTTCAGTGAATCAAGTCTCTTACTGCTTGGAGACTCTTGAGAGCTTTGGTGCATCTCATTTTAAAATTTACATTTGTCATATTTCTAGAAGTGAAATTCAAGACACAAAAGCTGTTGAGCTTTTTTGACATATGGCAAGCCTAACATATTTATTCTCCCCTGCCTCCTTGAATATATCAGGATTGGGGCTGGATTGGGAGTTTCATAGCAACTCTGAGGAAGTGTTTCATTGAGGCTGCAGCAGGCAAAGAGGGAGACTCCTTTGCACCCACAGCCCCAATCCCAATTCTCCTTATTGTGGCTGATATTTAGATAACCAGGTGGCAGTCAGACTGTTAAGGTCACATCCGCATGGGCCCCAAGACCTCAAGCCTCTCAGATCCTTTGCTAATGGATCAACAAAGCCAGCTATGCCATAGCAGATTGTGAGGAAGAGAAGTACCATAGTTTTCTGTGTATAACACGCTCCCGTGTATAAGACGCCCCCTATTTTTGGGGACTCAAAATTAAGAAAATGGGGGGAGATTGCCCCCGTGTATAAGACTACCCCCCCTTTTAACATTATTTCTTAGTAAAAAAAACCCTAGTCTTATACACAGAAAAGTACAGTAATTCCTCTGTTTCTGTAAAACAACAAGGGAAACATCCTGTTTTTCAGTAACATTGTGGTTGTGAAAACCAATTGGCATTATGTGTACAGTGGCATCTCGGGTTACATACGCTTCAGGTTACATATGCTTCAGGTTACAGACTCCGCTAACCCAGAAATATTACCTCGGGTTAAGAACTTTGCTTCAGGATGAGAATAGAAATCGTGCAGCAGTGGTGCGGCGGCAGCAGGAGGCCCCATTAGCTAAAGTGGTGCTTCAGGTTAAGAACAGTTTCAGGTTAAGAACGGACCTCCAGAATGAATTAAGTTCTTAACCCGAGGTACCACTGTATGTGTGTGTGTATCTCTGTATGCGCACATATATAATCATAGAAAATAATTCTTTTCTTTCTTTGGAATGGTGAGAGAGACTTTTTTTTTAAGTGTGGTTGTTGAAACCAACCAACATAAATTAGCCTGAGTACTAGCCAGACTTTACAGTATATACCTGTGTATTTTTTATATTTAAAAAGATAGATTACCTATTAATATGCTGATGAATAATTGCCCCCTACCCTTCAACTTTGTGGGCTTCCTTGTATTTCAAAAAGTGGAAGCATCTTGGGTAATGTTCATTTCTATCAAACTGTTTAAGACTGACTCTAACCAGATGCCACTGGAAAACACAGGAGAAAGCCTGTTTGGTTGACACCCCCTTGCCCAGATTCCAGACAGAAGAGGCTTGTGTGCAAACAGATAAGATGGGAGAAGTGTTGCTGACAAGTTGAACCCCTGACCCCAGGCTTAGAACGACAAAGCAAGGTTTAGGTTCACCCAGGGCACTGGTGGCTTCCAACGGCTGTCTTGATAAGTGCTTCGCAGAGCTGGTTTGTGTTTTGCCAGAAAGCACACTGACAAATTTCCTCTGTGTTGTTTTCAGCTGAAATATGATATTCTTGTGCGACTCCATCTCTTACCCTGCTGCCACGTTTCCCAGAAGTGTCTGTATGTGTGTCCAGTGTGACTAGTTCTGTCAAACACAATCCCCTCTCCTACCTTCACGGCTGTTTTCTACCTCAAGGGCCCTGGGCTATAGCCTGCCCCAACATTTAGCAGAGAAACACGAAGAACGAGCTTTTCCAGGGGCTATTAAGCTTACTTTGAAGTAAATGGAGAGAGGAAATTACCCAAGCCTTCTGCTGGTTTTAAGCAACAATCAGATTTGGGACTCTGGCACAGAAAGGGCTTTTATTATAATATAAATGCTTCCTGTGCATCCCAGTGTAACTCAAGGCAAGGTTGCACACAAAACAGAAAGAGGGTTTGTTTGTTTTTCTGGATAGTGCCATGGGGCAGCTTCAGGAATGGGTCCATGGAAGAAGAAGAAGAGGAGGAGGAGGAGGAATTTATTTGTACCCCGCTCATCTGGCTGGGTTTCCCCAGCCGCTCTGGGCGGCTTCCAACAAAGGTTAAAAATACATTAAAATTTCACACATTAAAAACTTCCCTAAACAGGGCTGCCTTCAGATGTCTTCTAAATCAGGTAGTTGTTTATCTCTTTGACATGTGATGGGAGGGCGAGATTTGCACATGGGGACTTAGTTCTCTGTTTGTATGACTTATATAAGTCAGCCTAGCCAAATGCCAAAAACAGTATTGATCTGAGGGTGTATTTACAATTTTTGTATCTTCCAGTTACAAGCCAAATAAAGACTAAGACAAAGGCTGTGGGGACATTTCTGAAGATATTTGACCACCTCCCCCAGATCTTCTCAGTGACCACGAGAAGCACGTGACTCTAACTAAATACTCCAAATTTCAGGAATAACAAGTGGGGTACTAGGGAATGAGGACCACCCCCCAAAGCTTAGTGCCACTCGTCTGAAATGGGAGGTGTAATGCTAATGACATCATGAGACAAATATAAAGCTTGATAACAAGCGGTACTAAGGTCACTGTGTCAGGGTCATGGGAGCATTTGCTACAGGTTTGGTTCTGTAGAGCAGATCACACTATACAGTAGCAGTGATGACTGATCTTTGGCCCTCCAGGTGTTGTTGGACTTCAGCTCTGATCATCCCTGACTATTGGCCATGGTGACTTGGGCTGATTGGAGCTGGAGTCCAGCAACATCTAGCAGGGCTGAAGGCCAGCCTTTCTCACCCTTCCAAACGCAGTTACCTATGTACACAGGGATGTAAGAGAGGAGCCAAGCAGTCCTTTCCATACGGACACCAAGAGAACAAGGTTCATTAGTAAAGGATTTATTAGTAGTCAGGTTCTCAAAACAAACACTGCAGCAGATACAAAACAATATTTGTTCAGCAGGAGCACCAAATGAAAGAGGATTAATGGGGAAAGTACATTAAGGGTTTTATGGCTCCAGTTGGGAGTGAGAATTAGAAGAGTCTCCATTTGGGAGTGGACAAAAGAGCAGTGCACTGCCATGTATGCCACTTCCCGTTGTCCAGACATAAGCTTGTAAATTCAACCTCTGCAGCAATGGCAACTTTGCTTGAAACAGGGCATGGTATGGTGGTTTTTTTAGAGTCTCAGACTCTAAATCACTACTCAGCCATGAAGCTCACACCTTGGGCAAGTGAATATCTCTCAGCCTAATCCACCTCATGGGGTTGTTGTGAGGATGATTTGGGTGAGAGAAGGAATGTTCTGCTCCTTGGATAAAAATGGGCAGGATAAAAAATGCAGATCAATCATTCAACTTTGTCCAGCTGTGTTTCTGTTCTGAGAGTTGTATGCTAAGCTTCTATACCTGCTCAAGAGTGTGGAGTGGATCAGAGAGACAGACAGAGAGGTCTTAGCTATTGTTTGGGGTGGGCTGTTCTGCTTTTGTTTTGGAAGAACCAGGCCAGGTGCCTCTTCACAGTCCCACAGCATTGAAGCCAATACTGGCAAACTGAGGATATGGCACAGAGAATCTCTCTGGAGGTGGGCACTATTTGACTAGCCACTCTGCATGGCTTCGTGGTTTCAAGCCAGAGCTGTATTTCATTTCATTTCAGTTTCCTGCCTGCAGCAGTGCCCGGACAAATGCACAGCTCATGAGATCAATGGCCTGTGTTGCCCCCTGGGGTGGAGGAAGGCGGGTGCAGTGGGTGCGGTTCGCCCCAGGTGTCACCACTGAGAGGGGTGACAAAATGCCGGGCGGCATTCACCGTGCGGCCTGCAATGTGCCCAAGCCACGCATCTCTCCTGGGCTTCATGCTGCCCAAATGGTCTGCCCACTGCCTCCTCCCCCCAGCTGTCCGGCAGCTGAGTGGGAGGGGGCAGGCAGACTCTGAAGGCCCTGCACTCTGCCCCGCCCCTAGGGGCGGCTTGCCCCACCCCTGGGCACACCACCCCAAGCACCTGAGCAGCTTCCTCCACCTCCAGTTGCCCCAGCCTTCTTTGGTAGCCTGGCTACCAAATGCCCATTGCCTAGAATTGCCTGTCGGAGTCTTGCCTGCCTGGAATCCACCCTGTAATGAGTCAGACCATTGGTCCATCTAGCTTGGTATTGTTAACACTGATTGGTAGTGTTTTGAGTGGGAGACATTCCCAGCCCTACCTGGAGATGTTAGGGATTGAACTTTGGTCCTTCTGAATGCAAAGCAGGTGCTCTAGCCTTGAGCTACCACCCTTCCCCAAATTGGTGGCGGTGGTGGGATTTAGTTTGTTCCCTTCTCGTAGCCCTGCTCTTATGGCCTGGATTTCTGCAAACCCCAGAAGCAGGGAGCTGCTCTTAGCTTGATATCATAGCAGACTGTGCAAGTTGAAGTAGTGCAGTAATTCGAAAGCATTGATTCCCAGGAGAAGAGCCACGCTGCCAATGTGGTAAGTGTCAGGAAACACTTAGCATGCTCAGATTTCAGCTGCTGCTCTCCTCCTTAATAGAAATCTGGCTCTCCTGGTGCCAAGTCCCATCATGCTTTCCAAGAGCGGTGCACAAAGTGTACCACGTTCTCCCATTAACCTCCACCCCTCGTGTTCTGCAGGAGGTACGTGCACTCTGAGATCGGCTCCTGTAAGAGATGGTCGTGCCAGCAAGGCTGAGTTCTAGAGCAGCATAGGAGAAATGACGCACAATTACAGAAATGCTTGGTTTTTTATTTTTTTAAAAATCAGGAGACAAAGAGCCATTACTGGTGTTAGAGGATCCTGTGACACACTGCACAAACTGTCCCCAACCCATGCCACTCTCCTGCCCTGTATTCTAAGTGGATATTGAAGGCTGTATGCAACTAAGGGCACTTCTAGACTGTTGTCATTTTCAGGTGGGAATTCAATCACAATTCAGGCTGTGCAAGGTAAGCTGATTTGGTCGCCCGTTTGCAACAAACCCGCTTCCCCCAAAGACCAGACTTTTAGCAATATGACAGGGAAACGCAGTGGAAAAGTGTGGGTTGGCACTCAATATCGTCTAGCCTCCCTACAAACAAATCAGAGTAAATGAGCCACCGTCAACTCACATCCCTGCAGAGAAGTCAGGATGAATGCTCAATAAACAGGTTGTTTGGAAACACCCTAAATAATTGTTCGGAAGGAAGAATGCACGCAATCTCCCCGGCTGCTGTTCTGGCTTGGATGGAAGTGGCTGTATTCCAGGTGGGTAGTTGGTGCTGATGCTGCAAGCGTACAAGTGCACCATGGAAACAAGGAGCCATACGCTCTAGTTGTCTTTATTTACCAGATATTGCCCTGCTCCCCTTTTGCTACCTGTCCTTGATAAGTCACAATGACACATGTTCTCTTCCTCCCCTCTCCCTACAAAGTCAAGGCATTTTCCTTTGAGGCTGTGCTTCTTTTATGGGCATATTACATCGTCCCAGCTCTAGACACACTCGACTCTTCCCCCAGATATCACATGCACTGTTACTTCTACCATCACATGGTTCCATGAGTGTCTCGGGTGCCTTGGACAGAGTGACCAATAACACCAGTAACAGTAATCTGCCCCAGCACCATCTCAATGTACTTTTTATTTACATTTCCTTTAAATACTTTTACTAGCTGCCGCACCATGCAATCACATCACTACAGTGCACAGACCACACCTTTTTTTCTTTAAAGGACTGCCCCCTTGCACTGCGTTACAATTATATTTTTTTCAGAGGTGCTTCCAGATGAGAGTCTATTGTGGAATTGGTTCTGCTCACACACACATATTTCTTGCACCCTCCAGTTGATGTTATCATAAAAATGCCAGCCTATAGTTTTTCTTCGTTTAATGTGCATTTGCCCATGATGTGGAAAACCTGGTAAATAAAAATAACCTTTTACACATCTGCAGTAAACTGTATGGAAGCTTTTTAGATCATTTTAAAGAAAATGAGCAGTTTATCTTGTAATGTTTTGGTAAAGGTAAAGGGACCCCTGACCATTAGGTCCAGTCGTGACTGACCCTCGGGTTGTGGCGCTCATCTCGCTTTATTCGCCGAGGGAGCTGGCATACAGCTTCCGGGTCATGTGGCGAGCATGGCTAAGCTGCTTCTGGTGAACCAGAGCAGCGCACAGAAACACTGTTTACCTTCCCACTGGAGCAGTCCCTATTTATCTACTTGCATTTTGATGTGCTTTCGAACTGCTAGGTTGGCAGGAGCAGGGACCGAGCAACGGGAGCTCACCCCATCATGGGGATTCGAACCGCCAACCTTCTGATCAGCAAGTCCTAGGCTCTGTGGTTTAACCCACAGCGCCACCCGTGTTTTGGTAGGTGATGACTAATGGTGCACCCCTAATACTGTTGTGTGTGTGTATAAATGTTGGGAAGGAAGGGGGATTCTCTGTTCCTCAATGAATGGAGTAAGGCATAATCTTAACAGGAAGTGCCATGGTCTTACCAGTTTTTGAGAAATACAGCCCGGCATCAAACACTGAAGCCCACACTGAATAGTTGACTCTGCGGAGAACAGAACTGAAACAAACCTTAAGAGCACATCCCTAAATGAATTAGAAATGCAGGAGGGTTGTTTGGAACCAGCTATCCTAGTGCCAGGAAATAAAAAGCTCTGTCTCTATGTGCCTCTTCTACTGGTGTCAGCACGAATAGCTGAGGGGTGCCATTTGGAGGGGAAGAATGCACAAAGCAGCACTGGTGAGGAGGCACTTTGGGAGTGAGAACCATTTCCAAAAGGTAGCTTCTCAAAATGGTTCAGAATGAATGAATCTAAGGCCTCTATAAGGCAGAATCTAAAGACTCCTGGTTGGTTGCATCTCTGGTTTGTTCTATGTATAAAAATCTCTACACTTCATCCTAAGGGCCATATAACCAGTACAGCCCAATAGCCTTCAAAGCAGTTTCTCAGAGAACCTCAGTGCAGATCATGTGTACATGATCTAGCAGATCTCTTTCCACTTACATTTTCCAACTGGAGCCCAAATACTTTTAATTTCCTGCCTGCCTGCCAAGACCAATGCACTGCTAACTCACAGAGCCTGGCCTTGGCATGCAGCAGAGTCTTCCAGGACCAAGAAACCATGCTTGATCATAGTTTCAATGAGATATTCTTCTCACTGGGTCACAGGAGTGTTGCCAGTTGTTCTCCCTGACCAAGGGGTAGATTCCTGGACAAACAGCAATGTAATATTGTAGACTGCCTTGGGAGAGCTGTGTTCCCTAAGGCGGCATATCAGTGCCTTTGCAAATATGTGCAGAACACCCATACCATATACCTCTCCAGGTATTCATATTTTCAAAAGCTGATGTCACATTCATAACTGTAAACATTGTTCCTTAAACATAATTCACTATACTTGGCAAGTCCCTGATCCTGGCTAGTTGCCTTGAATTCTATATTTCTGTCCATCCGTGTTTGTCTACAACCACTGACATAATTTTAGGGACTTGCATTCTAACAAGGGGCTCATCCAGACTCCCTTTTGCGCTGTGTTTATAGACTTTAAAGCACCGTGTCTCTGTGTTTTGTTTGGTTTTGCCTTAGTGCTTTCCCTGTGAAAACCCACTCTTTACCGCTGAAATGGAGCAAATGGCAACCCATGGAGAACCTGAATTGCCATTTGTTCCAATTCAGCATTAAAGAGCAGGTTTTCTCAGGGAAAGCACTGGGGCAAAAAGGGGAGGCACCTGACACAGTGCTTTAAAGTGCCCCCCTGCCTAGCAAAAGGGAAGTGCGGATGAGCCCAGGGTCTTTTGTTCAGGCGCTTCACTGAACAAAGGAGGAGCAGGACAGAAAGAAAAGCAGTCACAGACAGTAGCTGCAGTAGCATGGCATAGACAGTGTGACAGATCTCTAGGCGGATCCCGTTTCCTTACACAACAGTCTGCCATCTCCTCTACAATAGTACAGCTCCATGCCCCTCTTTTTCGAAGTAATTTTACAATGACAACCCCTCATTTTGAGAGCATTTGAGAGCCTGGATCCTGTGAGACCCTTCAGACATTACCCTCTCGCCCCGAGCCTGAGACTTTTGCACGATTAATATTTGTACTCACACACAGTTGTTTGCTTGCACAATGGCTTCTTTCCTTGAACATTTTAATTGGGGTTGAGGCAGAGGGGTTTGGGTTTTGTTTAAAAAACCCAAAAGCCAGCTGTTGGAATAAAAATATCAATCTGCTTTCTCACAAAAGCTTGTGGCAGTTATTAGTCCCAGTGGACGGTCATGGCACAAGCCTCAACTTTCTTGTGAATACAGTCTGAAAACCAGGCTCTTGAAGATACAGATAGCATATCCTTTCAAGCAATAACGAGTGTGAGAAATCCACTGTTCTGGGATCTGATCTGCCAGTTTTCACTCTCTCAGCATGGATATCCTATTGGAAAATATATTCACTGGCTAAGGACGCAGTGTCACCCAACAGTGTCTCTGCTTGGGGATGAAGAAATCTGTTGCACACAGGAAGAAGAGGAGGGTATGGGAGTGAACTCCCCTTTAGGGCAGTGCTGATCTGTCCTTGTAGGTCCAGGGAGAGAAAGGCAGAGCCCTGTCCTCTGCGACACAGTCTTCTTCGCCTGGTGGCCGAATCTTGAGAGCTGTCTTCAGCGGTTGAGGAAGAAGGACTTGATGCTCTGGAGGATGTGGTACTTCTGCTTCTGCCTCAGCTTTTTGCGGATGATGGGGATCCAGACAAGCCCGCACACCAGCAGCATGAGGCCAAGCGAGAGGAAGGCTGGCCCACACAGTTTGAAGACCTCCTTGGTCGTGTTGTTCATGCCTCCTCTTTGGTCTGCGGTGAGGCAGGTCAGGCTGGTGAGAGCCACTCCAAAGAGGAACACGGCTCCACCCACTGAGATGACGATAACGGGCTTGTGGTAAATGTCCCACTTGTTCTGGTGAGGAGCATTCCAGGTGGACTCACTTCGCGAGCTGATGCACAAGGTGCTGGCTGTTTGGCTGGGCAGCAGGTCCTTGTACTCGGGGGACTTCTCTCCCTCCTCTGTTTCTTTTGGCTGGGTTTCCATGGTTACCTGTTACGCAGACTCAGGATGTTAAGGCCTATAAGGGTGGAGGGGAGAGAGAAATAGACCAAGGAGCAGGTTATTTGGATAGCTGTATGCTTCACTCTCACCCAAACTCTTGGGCTAAGATTTATCTACATAGCTAATGGCTGTGACTGGCTCATGAGCTTGGATGTTCTTTGCGTCTGTCACAGGCCCAGTTTAGACCATGAGGGAAGGTCAGCCTCACTAGTTCTGAGCTTCCAAATGTCCTTTCTTGGTAATAAGGGCTCTGGCCTCAGTTCCTATGATGACAAACATACATAGTTCAAGTGGTAAGCCCGCTGTGGAAATCCACTCAACATAATTCTGGTACCATACTATTTTGCTTCCCAGCTGGGTCAAGGAGAACCTGTCATTGAGAATTAGGAGCGGAAGCCAGATTTACATAGTGCTAAATGGAAAGCCCTTGTGATAATGATGGGAAAATCTTGTCCCATTCTGAAGCAAAACTGTTTACAGAGATGACCAGCTGGCTATTGTAGAAATCCTCGTGGAATTGCCCCGCTTCATTCACTCACTTTTTATGAGGCATCTACATGATGCTGTAAACAAAAGATTGTCACTCTGTTTCTTTCCCCTCTGTCTTTTCTGAGACTGCAAAAAATGCTGACTCCCCCCCGCCTCCAGAAGGATGGAAACTGAGCTCAATCTCCACAAGTGTAAGTGCCCTTAGCACTATTCCTTTGGCTTTCTGAAAGGGCAGGATTTTGACATGGGCATTGTCAAATGCCACCTGAGGCAGCCGTATCACTCTGCCTAATGGTAGAGCCCTGAAGTAGACCCAGGAACCGTCCACCTGGAAGCAGCCACAATGAAATCAGATTGAAGCATGAGCATCTAGATTTGCTAGACTATGGGCAGGTTTAAACTAATGGCCCATTTGCAGTTTCATTCATCCCATGATCTCAAGTCACATATCTGAGAAGTTTTAGTTTTGTCTCACCACTTTCCCCAGGGAAAACCCACTGTTTACAATGGTACCTCGGGTTAAGTACTTAATTCATTCTGGAGGTCCGTTCTTAACCTGAAACTGTTCTTAACCGGAAGACCACTTTAGCTAACGGGGCCTCCCACTGCCGCCACGCCACCAGAGCACGATTTCTGTTCTCATCCTGAATCAAAGTTCTTAACCCAAGGTACTATTTCTGGGTTAGCACAGTGTGTAACCTGAAGCGCCTGTAATCCGAGGTACCACTGTACTGCTGAATCAGAACAACTGCCAATTGGGCTTCCCACGGGTTGTTTTTTGCTTCGATTCAGCAGTAAAGAGTGAGTTTTTGTGGGAAAAGCTCTGGGGCAAAAAATAGCTCTTAGACACAGAGCTCTAAAGCACAGACCATACCTGGAAAGCACAGAGGAAAGGTAAGCGTGGATAAGCCCTTTCTTGTGCGCAGAAACCTGTTTTTTGCATTGCTGTCATCTACATACAAAGGTAAGAATCAAATACATTGCCCTGCCCACTTTTGCCTTTGGCCACATACCCTACCGCTGGCCTGTGGGCCCCAGAAGGTTGATCACAAGAGTATGTGGCCCTTGGGTTGAGAAAAGTTCTCCATCCCTGCCGCAGCCCATGAAACCCATTCTTTCCTGCTAGCCTTTTGCCAAGTTTCGATCTCTTTTGTTAGCGGTGCGTAGGTGCTGTAGATGAACTCACCATGGGTAAGGATTGTTGGCTTAGTCAAGTCACTGTTGGGCTGAAGTTCAATTCCTGGCCTCTTTGTGCTTCTGGGGAGACATAGAAACATATACAGGGAGCTTGATATGCAGCAGAGGGCTGTTACAGCTTTCACCATCCATTCCTTGATAGCTGTGTAGATATTGTGAGTCACAGCCAAAGCCAACTTCATGCTATCTTCCAAAACTGCAGTTCTGAGCAGCCCTGCCCTGGAAACAAAACGCTACGTCCAGCTGGTGCTGGCTTCAGGTGTTGGGGGCAAGAGATCCTCCTCAGTGAGCTCCCTTAAAATGTGAGGGGTACTGGCTTTCGTTCATCTGAGTGCTGCCCATCCCAGTGGGCTGGGGTGCATGATGACAGTAGGACTGGAGTGCCAACATGAATAAAATTGTGTGTGGGGGGGTAAGTAAGCCCCACCCCAGATAATCAATCACAATATGTGGTGTACACACATCATTTGAATGGCAATGCCCATCAACTTTCTGTGGGGAGCTGGCCCCCTCAAATATTTTTTGGGAGAGGGGGTGAAGTAATGTCAGCCCCTAGGAGCTGTCTCCTATGCCATAGGTCTGAGGACCAGAATACAGCATCCTCACACTCCTTTTCACCCCACCTGCACTTACATGCTCACTTTAAAGCACTCAAGAGCATTATTTGTTCTCTTGGCAGGTACCCCTCACCCTGGAACATGATAGATTGCCCTAGCAGCCCCTATATCACCATCATGGAAGCCTCTGGGAGCTTCCATTTTCCAACAGAAGGGGTACTTAGCTGCTCCAAGACAAGCAGACCTGCTTGAGATTGCAAGCTGTGAGAAGCTGGCCAGGTTTCTTGGGGGAGAAGTGGTAAGTTCAGCATTCTCAAAACAGGCAACAGCAGTGATTGGATAGAGCAGTCGTGCTGGCTGGGGCTGATAGCATTTGCAGATAGCATCTGGAGGGCATCAGGTGGATGAAGGCCGGGCAAAAGGCTTTCTCCGACAGTCACAATGGGGCCACCCAAGCCTGCCCCAGAGCCATATGTGCACTGGTGTTCCACTCATGGCTGCCACCCAGAGGTGGTACCAGGGCTTTGCATGGCTTTGCTTGGCGTAACAGCCACACCTGGGTCTGTTTCACTTTAATGGTGCAGCTCGCCAGGTGTGCTTTGTGCCTTGAGAAACCGAGGGAGGCACACGCTGCTTACACACCACACATTCAAAGCAAATTCAAAGCGCATTTCCCTCCAAAAATTCTGGGAACTGGGATTTGTCAAGGCTGCTGGAAATCATAGCTGTGCTGTGGTGGAATTACAGTAGAGGGATTCTTTTGGCACTGGTGGTGGGAAATGTTATTGAAATATATATTGCGTACACAACCACACAACTCGACAAGAGAGCGAAAGGCAGGACCTCCTTCTCAAAAATGCCCAAGGGATTCTTCCCCATCACTGGACCCTCACCTGCTGCTCTTCTGCCAGGGCGCACACAATGTCCGTGATATAATTAAGGTGATTCTACAGGCTAAGGGAATGAGAAACCATGATAGGAACATAGATGATGACGACGGCTTTAACAGGGAGCCGGTGTTTTGAAGTGTGTTTCTGTGGACCAGGAACACAAAGGATCTGTTCAGTTCAGTTGATGTGCATTGTACTCTTTGTTCTATTGAGCCTGTATTTGCACTGCAAAACATTCCATTTCCTGGACATTCCCTGCTTATGAACAAGAGATCCCTCTATTGTCCATTCTACGTAAGAGAAGTCCTCCCACATATCACAGACATATTTTAGCTTATTGGTCTGTCTGTTGCTCGCGTTTTATACCATATTGTGCTGTCTTTTATCCCCCGACTCCTGTTTTAATGTTTTCGCTAAGTTAGCTGCTCTGAAAGGGCAGGATAACAAATCCTCAAATAAGTAAATATCCACAATTTGCAGCCCCTTTTCTCTGTTTGTCTTGGGGAACTAGAATGAAACACACCGAGAGGGAACTTAGGAAGAGTGGGAGGATGGGGGACGGACATAATTCAAGGGGACAAAAGCACACAATTCTGACTAGAGTTGATCTTTTTTCATTTAAATAGCCTGGCCTCATTAATTCAGTATCATTGTAGAGTATGAGTTGTTCAGTGCCATGCAAAACGGTTATGCAAAGAGTCTGGCAAGGTTGGTTTTTATCAGCAGGAGACTGATCACACAAACACACACCCTGCACACACACAATTGCACTGGTCAAAGTGGTCAAGTGGGCACATATGGGGTGAGGCAATTTCACAGGTAAACTGGTCCCAAGTTGCTAACATGCCTTTATATTACACGTGTAGTTCGACAGCCAGCCCTTAATGTGCCCTGGGCAGTTGTACTTGCGAGCGATTTCCCTTTTCCTTTGTGGGGATCTGCAAAGAGTTGGTTTGCGATCCACTCCTCCTATTCTTTACATGTTGCTGGTGTGGTGTCTGATAACCAGCTGAGAAGTGTCAGACAACCTTGAAAAATGAGGGTCTCCTTGTTGTATGGACTTGATGTGCCAGCCATGAGATTATAAGAGACATCCATTTATATCAGGGATGGGGAACCCACAGTCCTCCAGATGTTGTTGGATTCCAACTCCCACCAAGCCCAGGCAGCTTGGTCAGTGGTCAGAGGATGATGGGAGCTTTAGCCCAGCATCATCATATGGAGGTCCAGAAGTTCCCCATCCCTGACTTACAATGCATGGGACTGTGACTTTCCTTTCTCCCCTTAGCCTCCCTTGACAAAGTCCAGTCTCAGTCTCCACTCTCACCTCATTTTCCTAGTGGTAAGTTGGGCAACAAAAGACACAAATTATGCAAAAAGCAAGAGACCCATCTTAGCTGAACCCCATCCCAGTGTGAATGGGCCTCAACTTCTTCTCCTGCCAGTTTCCCCATAGGAAAGTCAGGCAGGGAGATCACATCACCTTCCTTTCAGCCAGTGCAGCCCTGCCTTGATCTTCTCTTTGATCCTGGTTTTCCTGGTAGGAAGAAACTAATCATCCAGAGGAGTATCCCTGATCTTCCTGGAGCTCTTCTCGCTACACCTCCCTTCCCATCTGCCTTCTGTTTCTTGAAGGAAACAGGAAAGAATTGAGAGTAAAATTCCTCCTCTACTGGTCAGCACAAGCCTCTGCCTCACCTTCTACTGGATTATAGCTTTCGGGGGATGCCTACCTAAATCCTTTGGGTAGATCTTGTGGGCAAATTTGTGGATGTCGGCTGCCCAGTGCCATCTTGCTGGGAAGTCTATTGTTCTTTCCAGCTCTGCTACAGTGGCACTGTGCCTTGGG